GGAACTAGAAATGAGCTCAGCAAGACCCCACAGTTTAAGTAAGCATTCACTGAATGACTAGGGACTTGTGATCACATACTCTGCTGCCTGATACTGGCAGTTCAAGAGCATGGCTGGGGTCTGTTTAAAATTTCTTTTCTCTCTCTCTTTCCCACACATGTCCAGGATCACTTTCAACTTGGCCTCAGCATTAAAGACAGTCAGAAAAATGTGGTCAAAATTTTTAAAAACTACTTTTATTGATTGTTTTCCTCATTCTCTTCAGAATTAGCAAATACATTAGAAAGCTTTTCATTGCTTTCGTCAAACAACTAATAAAGTTCTTATGTAGGGATGGGCATGGTTCACATGGTTCCTGTTTCTATCCCATCTGAAACCTTATCTGAATGTTTTCAAGACTAAAACCAAAAACCATTAAAAAACCAAAAAACAAACCAAAACAAAAGCTACTAGCTGTGCTTGAATGTCTGCATGATGGGATTCATCTATGTTTTCCTTTTTGATAGTGATCTGACTTGTCACCAGTTAAACCAGAATTACAGAATTATTATCCACCTAAATAAGTGAGATTCACAAACAGATTTCATAGAGCAGAAGGACTGAAAAGTACTGATCTTCATCTCAAGTGAACTGAGTTAGAAATCAAACACAAAGCGAAAGACAGCAAAATGTTGACAACTCAATTTCTCTAAGTTTTTAGTACAGAACATAAAAAGGAGAAAAACCAAAAACCCCACACTTTGTAATTACATCAGACATTCATTTTCATACCTTTAAAGATTACTGACTGAACATGCTTACAGGTCTTTTGTACATTAAATCAAGGAAGACATTAAATACCTAAAATTAATAAAATCTGATAATACAAAAGACAATGGTTCTGTAAATTAAAGTATATTTGCTGGTACTGATGCAGGGTCAGAGATAGGAAGCTTTTGGAATGTAGATAATTTCTGGAGAGCTTGTCACAGAAGCCCTAAATAATTTCCCTTTTTGTTTGTGTCTGAGAGGCACAGGGGCTCCAAGATATGGCAGAATAGAAGTGTCTGGTTAAACTAAGCCATAAATTTTGCATGCAGCCTGCCTTGACAGCTTTTTTTAAACCTACTTTACTTATATTCTTTGCTAGCCCTTTATTCTGCTGGATTCTCTTCATAAATTGTCCAATTTCTAATCCTATTTTACACAAGCAGCTGGAGGCAAAATAGCAGACAGCAGCAGCAAAATTCATGGTTAAGCATGAAGTTAGGCACAAGTTTATAGCATGAGGCCCATAGTGACCCAGGCACACATAGGATTTTCTGCCTTCCAGAGTGGGCCTTTCTTTTAGATTGATAGTGCTATCTTAAGCATTTTTCTGCAACAATATCTTAATAGACTTTTTTCTTGAGGTAGTTGCGTACAAAAGGAAAAGTAAATGAATCAATAGAATTGTCTTCCACACCTCAGTGATGATAACAAGTACACTTGGATCTTAATCTAAGTCTTAATGCTTTTATTTTATAATTAATTAATTATTTTTTCCAATACTTGATCCTTTTCTGCAAAATATGATACAAAATCCTCTGTACTGCTGTTGCAATATTTTTGTACGGAATACAAATATATATATTTGTTATTCTGAGTTAGGTTCTCCTGAAAAATTCCAGTCATGTCCTGGGGCTGTATTAAAATATTTCATCTTCCTGAATTTATAAGCAAACTACATACTCTTCTGGCAGGCTGTCTGACCTTACTTATTTTCATCCATTTAGAAAAACACTCACCCTAGGCAGAATATACACAGTGATGTAAAGACTGTCTCTGAAAATACGGTGCTTGGAGGTGGCATCCTTTGGAATGACCTATGAAAAATGTCAGCCTCTCTTACAAATCACCTACCACATTTGAAAGATATTTCCCCAGGTTTGTCCGAACTGCTTTGTGTAGAAGTTTTATCCTGCTGTTTTCCATCATCATCTATATTTTGAAGGCATGCTGACAAATTTGAGAAATAGGAATTCAATTCAGCCAGCCTTGGACACTGAAATAGTTTTTTTTTTTTTCAAATGATAGTTATATCTGCGACTGGAAAGACTTTTCCACAACAGCCTTTCACTGCATCTGACATTCTGATAATCAAGGAGCTTCTTCAATGTATGAACATATGTGTTGGTCTCTTCCCCATTTTAATATTTTATACCCCTTTTAGAAGTATTAGGAAAAGTATAAATTGTATTGCTGTTTTTCAGCATGCTAACAACTCTCAAGCAAAACCTAAATTGAAATTCTCTTTAGGCTCCGTATTTCACATCCTTTCTAATTTGAGAAATCTAATGTGAGATGGGGATATGTGGTGATAGCAACGCTGGTGCCTGCTGTGTACTATTGCTAAAGTAAATGTAGCTTAGCTAACAAGGAGAGATAAAAAGAAACAGTAAAAGTATGCCCTGAACATAATCAAATTCCTACTTATCCACTATATCCTGCAGCTTGCCCTGCTTTACATTTTATCCTTCTGTAAATAACAGCTCTCAAACTTTAACTTAGTTGCTAATAACCTGAGCTATGCTTGAACCAGTGGCTTGAAGTTGTACATCCCCTGACCTCCTTTGCATTAGCCAACCACCTCAAGGCAATGAACTTGCAAGATATCAACTTTAAGTAATTGCTGCAGTCGTATCAAGCAGATGTGTCATAAGGTTGAAAATTTGAGAAGTGTAACCAGTGTAATCATAGAATCATAGAATAGTTAGGGTTGGAAAGGACCTTAAGATCATCTAGTTCCAACCCCCCCGCCATGGCCAGGGACACCTCACAGTAAACCATATCACCCAAGGCCTTGTCCAACCCGGTCTTGAACACTGCCAGGATGGATGCATTCACAACCTCCTTGGGCAACCCATTCCAGTGCCTCACCACCCTAACAGGAAAGAATTATATAAATATAATAATATTTATATTATATAATAATAATATAATATTTATATTATAATATTTTTATAATATAATATAATAATATGCTATTATATAATAATTTAAATAATATTTGTATTATTATATAATAATGTAATAATAGATATTTTCTAAGAGTTATATCTTACAGAAGTTTGTTCCATAGGAACCATAAAGTGTAGCTGAACAGGTCAGTCAGCATGCTTTGTTGTGCTGTAATCTGCATCTGCAACTGTTTATATTCATTTATTAGGACTCTTCCAGTGTTGGTGTTCTATAAATCAGACTGGTAGTTGTCAAGAAGCGCACATGCAGCCTAAACTTTTATTACTTTTGTTAGTATCCCTTTGGACAGCAAATAAAACGTTCCTTGCAAGCCAGTCAATGCATTGGGATACTCAAAGCACTGAAAATAATGTATGCGGAAGTAAAAAATGCTGTTGGCTGCAAAGTCATGATGATTTAAAGTCTACAGAAGGGAACTAACTCCTCTATCTCTCAAGTTGCACCACGGATTAATATGGGCCAGTAAGCACATTTCTGAAGGAATGATTCTGAAATTATTGGAAGTTTGTATTTTTTTTTTATGATTTTCAAATAGGCAGTAGGTCAAGGTTGAACTATTTTAGGTAACTCCTCTTTGTCTGTTTGAAAACTCTGTGCAAAGTGAATGGAGCAATTGAAGGTAAAATGAATCTGAACTTACTTGGGAAGTGTTAAAATACATGTGAAAACTTGAAAAGATTGTGGTTCAAAACCAGAATATTTCCTGCTGATGTTGAGTGCATTTCTTCCTTTCCTGTTGACAGAAAATGTCACCTATAACAACTATATAAGCAATATAACCTCTTAGTCTTCTACAGTAAATTTTTATAGTATCATTAATTCAATTATTTAGCATCTAAGTGCACTAAGATAGTTTAATATTTCCTACAAAGATTAACAGAAGTTCTAATATTTGGGCCTTGTGGTAGGAACATATTTTATCTGCAATGTATTTGATTTTTTTGTTTTAGAGGAAGGTGTCTTCAACTAATTTATCTGATTCTGGAAGAACTCCCAGAAATTATTAAAAATATGAAATTGAAAATTGTAAAAAAGTGAATATAATATTTTATATCTATGCTGTAAGTAAAAATTTCTAATGTATGTGTTTTACTGAGCTAAGAATCACAAAAAGCGTAGTGGAATTTGGTTCTCCAAATGCTTATATTCCTTTGAAAATCAGACATAGGAGCGTGCTGGCCTGCAGGGCACAGCTCTGCTACTGTCACAGCCTTTCTGTCGCTTCACACTGTGAAAGTCAGCAGAAGTAAGTGGAAAGGCTACTGAGAACTGTGTTGAGTAAACTGCATAGAATCCCATGACTGCAGCTAGAATAAACCGGAGTCCCAAATCTCCTGCTTTCTGTTTTGGGTGAACATGCCACATTGCAGCCAATATATATGTGAGGGTTGCATAGCCCATAAAAAGCATAACTGAGGTAGCTGCAACTGCAGAGCTTTTGTAGGCTTTATAGAAGACTAGAGAGTCATATTTTAAATACCTCTAAGAACATAACAGAATGGAGGATATAAGAATAATTAGCTATTTGGTAATGGACTTTTTAACTGATTTAGCCAAAAAGACTTAATCCATGATTACTTTTTAGTTAAGAAATTGTTCATGCACATACCAAGAATACTTGACTGACTGAATTATCTGGTAAAGATTTTTGTTACAGCATGTGAGAGGTCAGGAACTCTTTGAAGTTGTCCATGATGCATATTCAGTGGGAATTATCCTTTCTAACACAAGTATTAGGTATAACTTCTTGTTTCCAAAACATAATTTGGTCTTCTTATTCCAGGAAGTGTGTGCTAATGTGCATATGGGGGGCATGTGGCTATGTCTATGAATATCTTTGAATTACTAAATGATGTATGCTTTGACTTTTATCAGTTTAATTTTGTTTTTTATGAAGAATGTGATAATTACAATTTCTTTTTAAGTGAGTATTTAATTTGGCTAATTGACCGCTGTCTGTACTAATTGTGATTTGATCTGGTTTTGTTCTGTTTCCAAAGGAACCAAAATCTTGATAACCAACTCAAAGTGAAACCAAGTTCTTTCACAAGTGACAAGGAGTAAGTCTTCAAAGCTTCTCAGGCCCTGCTTTTTTAAGGCAGTGAGTAGTTTGTAACTATGAGAATGTCAGGAAAGGTAACGTTGCAAATCTGTAAAATGTTTATAGATTAATAAATAGCATTCCTTATACAGAATGATGAATATAAAAATACAGATTAATTAATTAATTAATTAAGCTTCCATACATGCCTGATATGCTTCCTTGATAAAGAAAAATTTTAATATAGTTAGAGAAGGGGCATTAAGCCGAATATTGTAGAGCTCATGGGTGATAAGTGTTGCTGCAATAGGGTGTAACAAAGCATTTCTGTCAGCAAGGGCAGTGATCCATAAAAACCAGCTTGAATTTATATTTCTGAAGAGTACATCAGTTCAGTGTGTTTCAAGTTAAGCTTCTTGTGGTCTTGTAAGCAGCTCTTAAGCACACAGAAGAGGAGGAGCTGCCAGGGTACTGTGCTAGGAAGAGCTATGTAATATTTGTCACACCTTACACCAAAATTCTACAGATAACTTGCAAATTGTAATTCACAGAGAATTCATTAGGATAGACTCCAAGACTTCGAGACACTACTGGATTATAGGAGACATCCAAAGTTTTAAGATTAATATGCCTATTATGGATTGAAGTGACCAAGTTATCACAGAGCAAATTTAGCCTTTTGCTTTTGCTCTCTACTTCTACCTAAAGAGAATAAGAGATTTTTACATTAGCTAGAGTGCTTTTCATAGGTCATTCAATTCTTTAATTCACTGAACCATTTAATAATGATGATGATGATGGTAATATTAATAATAACAATAATAATAAAAATCCTGAAGAAAAACTAGCCACTAGTTTGTATTCATGAAATTAAAATAATGTTTCCTTATATGTAAACTTTGTAAGTCTTTGGACAATTACATTTTCATTCTAAGTACAGACATAATCAATGCTTTAATTGTTAACTATGATTACACACAGAGGTAATTTCTTGTCATTCCAGAAGCAAAAATATGTGGGCATTTGGACATGATTTTACGTGACATCTTAAGAAGCAGACATTTCTTACTTTAAACAAAAACATAGATTTTTTTTGCAAATTAATAATGTGAACAAGGATTAGGCTGCTTGGAACCTGTAATTTAATACTAAGTTCTTTGAAAGTTCATGTTTATTCTTCACTATCTTCACTGGCAAAGAAAAATGTTACACTACAGCACTGATATGATTAAACAAAGCCTTTTTATTTTCTTGGGTGTTCTAGATGATATTTTTTATTTAACTGTACAGAACTTTAATTTGCTAATGGAAAATTGTAAACATATTTTCTCATTATGGTCAATAACATAACTGTTTGCAGATTTTAAACATAAACTTAACTAATAATTTACTTTTTTCTTTTTAAATGTGTGCCTAAATATATTTCTTTCTTTTATTACTCTTTACCTCTTCTCACATATGGGCAATATACTAGCAGTTGTTTTTGTTTGTTGTTTCAGAGGAAAAGACCTTAAGGATTTTACTGAAATATATACTGCTGGTCAGAAAAATAAGAGGCAAGGATGTCACAATGTTTCCTTTATATATTTATAAAATATTGGTGGTTGGCTGGATATTAGAATTAATAGGTTCTGTTTTGTAAAACTCATTGCAGGAGCCAGAAATAATATTTTTATTTGATTTAAACCATAGAATTTTAACTTTAAAAAATTCTTCATTAAATACAGGGTAGTAAATATGAATACCTCAGTGTGGAAGAAAAAGGTTCTTTAAATTGAAGTTCTTTAAATTAATGTGAAATGTTCTGTTAAACCAAAAATTGTCTTTTTTAAATATGGAAGAGGAATATCATTATCATAAATAAATAAGAAATTAATCTTTTCCTTAGTATCATTATTCATTTGCATGTGAGAACCAGTGTTGCCATTTTTTTCATTTAAAAATTTCTTCAATGGATAATATTATTTTTTATTACAGATAATTTACTATAAAATACTAACAAAATTATATTAATATATTGTGTGGGTGACATATATTACTACATTAAAATAGAGATTGTATACAACCCTAGATAACAGCACTTGTGAGAGGAATCTGGGCTGGGTATAATGACAAACCAAAGAACACAGTTTGGCAGCTATCTCCATAGCTCATGGTGCTGATTCCTATACTGAATTAAATTATGCTATCAAGTTAAAACGATAGAGCCATAGTCAGTTCAGGAGATGTAGGCAGGCCCTTCACCTGGCAACATAATGCAACACAGCAGTCATAAATTGAAACAAGAAAGGCCCAGGCCAGATATAAGAAGGACTGTGAAGCAGTGGAGCAGGTTGCTTAGAGAAGCTGTCTTGGACAGCAGGCCATCTCTCCCTTGGAGGTTTTCTAAACCCAACTAGAAAGAGTCCTGAGCAGCCTGGTCTGGTCTCAGAGCTGCCCCTGCTTCAAGCAGGAGGTTGGACTAGATACCTCTTGACATCTCTGAATTCCAGCCTGAATTATCCTACAACACTATAGTGAACTTCGCATTTTTTAGCAGTTTGGAATAGTGTCACACTTGAGATAAACTGGAAAATACTGCGGTATAGTCTTAGTTTTATATTTTATTCTGTTCTGTAATAATCATTAGAAAAGTCAAATTTCTTATTTTTATTTGATTTAAACCATAGAATTTTAACTTTTGAAATTCCTCATTAAATATAGGCTAGGAAACAGAAATAATTTATAAAAATTCAAATATTTAAATATTATTATGTCTTAATAAATAATGAAATAATTATGATGATTTTATTAATATTTAATATATGACTAAATACAGACTCTTGCCTCATGATTAACTAAATGCTTAGGATATTAAACAATTGTAATACATAGTGTAGTCAGAATTTTTTCTTTTGCATACAGTATTTCTCTTCATAAATTCATAAATAAATCAACCCATTTAATATATTTGACTTGAATCAAATAATTTAATTAATTCAGAGGTCTTCCTCCCTTTCACAGAGGTGAGGCCCTTGGTGATCACACTGAATTGAAGTCTGCTAATGACCAAAGTACAAAGCAGTGAGACTCAATTTTACAGTTCTTCCTAAAATCTAAAGAGTCAATATCAAGAATTGTAGCTGGTTTGTGTGATACCAGAAAATGAGAATTCCTAAAGTGAGCAAGCAGAATTTGCATAACTTGAGTATGATATCTCTATTATTTCTAAAATATGCCTGATTAACCAATATATAACAGTATAGCTGCACGTATTTTGGTAATAAGCAATGACTCAAACCTATAATCTCCTGCAGTGAATGAAAATGCCTGGTGACAAGATATTCATAGGTATATTTGTGCTTATCTAGGTGTTTTGTGAATTCAGATATTAGCATCTCAAAGAAATATAAGTAAATGCATTCACAGATTAAAAGTTTCACTGTTACTAAGTTTCATTATTTGCAGAAAGAAAGATCCATTTTGGTCAGTTAAAGTGAAATCAGTATTATATTCCTAGGTATCATTCTGATGGTATCTTTTTGAGTCTCCATTTAGTTGTATATCTAAGTGAAAAGGAAGAACTTAGCTAGCTATATACATAAGCAGTTTTATTATTTTTAATATAAAATTTACTATTTATTCTACCAGTCCCACTTGACAGTCTGACCAGAGGAGCATATACTGAATATCTCTGGTGAATGAGTTTCTCTTGTAGTTCTGAAAGGGGGCCTGACAGATTAGGAGTCGGGCACAACAGAGGGTGCTGCTTCATGCAGCATGCTGTGCATATAAAACAGTGATCAGCACTGAGCAAGTTCATTTAGCAAAGCTTCAGGCCTTGGCAAGTTCACTGAAATAAATCAAGCTGCAGCCCAAACATCCAGAGTCAAGGCTGATAATCATCAAGTTGGTTCAGAATATAACTTTTGGCAGAACCAAACAAGAGCAGCCTTTGTCTGAGCTGCTTTGTAAAACCATCAAAAACATTATTAGCACTTACCCCTTAAATCCTATAATTTGTCTGACAAGATTTATTGTTATGTTTGGTTGCATGTCATGTTTGTGGCAGGGAAAACTGCAGGAGGCAACATTTCATTTACTTGAATTGTAATCCTACTTTTGAAAATGACTCTTCATATCTGTTTAGTTGGTCATTTCTAATAAAAACATAACTGTATTTTATATATATATATATATTTATATAAATAAATTTGGAACTAAGAAATAATAAAACCAATAAAAAACATTATAGAATACTGCCAAGAAAATGCACAGTGCTATCAACTTCTCAGACATTACTGCATAGCTGACAACCGCAGTAAGCACTTTAAGGTAACCAGAGTTCAATTAAAGTTAGATGAAGTTTCTGATATGAATATATCTACCAGCATTAACTAGAAGACTTAAAATTATAGGTCACTGATTCCATTATTTTTCACAAGCAACAATTTAACAACCATAAGAAAAAGATAAATTTCTTTTACCTACTGTTTCTAGCCCAAGTTTCTACATTTATGGCTGTAAGTGTAACTGAAATTTGTGTAACTGAATATGATTTCTAAAAGTTGGTTTTTTTCTTATTGCGTGGTTTCTCTTTTTTAGGATAACTGAGCAAGCATATGAAAATCCTCCAAGGGCTCTAAATAATCTCCCAGAAACAAACTACTACAGTGACAGCGAAAGAAAGACCAGGTACTGTGGACAACGTATTGAGAACCATAACACCTAAAGTGGCATTTCTTAAAAAAAAAAAAAATAAATAAAAAATAAGAGAACCCATCTATACAAGATATTTCAGGGATATTTAGAAACTTTACCCTGGTCTCTGGAAAGATGCCAGCCCCCTTCCAAATTCTGCTTCCAAGATCCCATGCACGGTGGCTCATAGAGCGTAGCTCTAGCACACAGAGTGGAGAGCGTAAGACAGAACCTGTGTAGCTTTAGAGATGTAGCTGAGGCATGAAATTTAGGATAGTGGTTAAGCCAGAATTCTTATACTATCAAAGAGGAAAGGCATTTCCTGCATGTTGGACACACCACACTCTCAGGGAGCTTATTTCTTTCAGAAGCTGTAAGGAAAACATTACACTCCAGTGCCTGCTAAGTTCCTAAAAGTATATGGGATGAATCTGAACCCATGTATCATCTCTCATCCCAATCGCTGAAACTGTAATGTGGGCTTCTGACTTTTTGACCAGGTACAAACTATTTTAAAAACCATTTCTCTTGCAAATACTCTTGTTCTAGGTGGATTCTGTCTCTATAAACACACACATTGCAAATCTGACTGAAAAATATGATGTAGGGATATTGTATAGAACTAACTAAAGACAAGGTCTGTTAGTAACAGGAAATCATTGGAATAAAGGAAATATATGTTTCTTCACAGTCAATATGCATTTTAAAGAATTATGACAACAAAAATAGAATAATTTTAAATAAAAGACCTTCTTCGATTAGAAAAACCGCCCTTTGGTACCAACCCAGCCATATATGTGGATTAATTAAGTGTTAATATAAACAGGACTATTTAAAGATATAATCCCATATGTCTGTTACACTTTCCCTGAAAAAGATACATTCTACGAATGCACGTGATTATAAAAAATGGTTCCTAACATTGCTAAACATTATTCAAGAGTGATATGAAACATAATAATTACCATATACCTTATGAATTTCTGGAGGAATAGGATAATTAAACCAGTTCAGAAATGTTCAAAACATGTATGGCAGGATGACTTCTTCAGCTGTTACATACATGCCCATCCCTTCCATGCAAACAAAACTGACAGTTAAGCAACTAGAACTGGGACGGTTACAAAGGAAGATTTAGCTTCTCCTGATAGTTAAATTCAGTATATTCCTTTGTACTCTGATACAAGGAACAATACAGTTACTGTAGTGAGCACAAATCTCAAATTGAACAGCCTGTATTACAAAGACCCTGACTCTACTTCGAGGGGGGTATTGTACTTTCGTTTGGCTGTTTGGCACCTCTTTGAGGACTAGTGAAAGAAGAGGGAGAAAAGGGATAAAAAGCAGTGTGTCACCATTTCCTGAAATGTAGCATTTAGGCTGGGATCTCAGCACAGGCAAACCCAATCATATCATGTAGATTTTGCTCAGTGGAATTATGGATTGAATTTTGAAATGCTGAAGAATCATTCAGCAACAGAACATGGTCTAAGGACACTATATTTCTAATTTGTGTTTGTTTGTTTGTTTGTTTTAATTTTATATATTTTTCTTGATGGCTGTGAAGAAGATAATACATCACCAAGTATGATGATTTTTTTTTACAAGCATTTTACATTAGTTTTATTTGCATATTATCATCAGTGTAGTGAAACCTTTAAAAATAAAAAGTACTGTTTAGTAATTGCTATTCTTTCACTGATTCACAGCAAATCATCATATGGTACCTATGACAAAAATATAACTGGAAATACTATCAAAACTGTTTACTCTACTTCTGATCGGTAAGTACACATTAATAACATTGTAGAATACCAAAGGACACAGACATTTTGCATAAGCATTCAAGTATTCAGACAAAAGAGAGCAGTGGAAGTCCCCATTAGGCTTGTCAGACAGCTTTTCATATGGAGCTCCCTTTCAGTGGGGTCATGCCGTCAAATCATTACCACGGTTCATCAGCCTAATGTTATGTTAGCCTTGTCACAGCTGACATTTTAAAATATCTATAGAAACAATAGCCAGTGCCTTAAGTGACAGAGTTGGCTTTGTGATTCTGTAGGTTTCTACCTTGGGGAGCTTCTTATCCTGCAAAATTTCCTTCCTTTTTGGGGATGTTGTCTGTAATGACCAACTCTATGTACAGATGTGGAAGAACAGCTTCACATGACAATGCTGTTAAAAACTCTGTGTTTTCACACCAGCTAAAATAGTCCCAAACATAAGAAGGATATTTGCTCATCAGTAATATCTTAAAAAGAATAATAAAATAAATGTGGTCACTATTTTCAGTTCAGAGAATCTGCACAGTCCCACTACTTGGAAATAAAGATTTTTTCTTTTTTCTTTTCCAAAGTAAGTATAAAAGATTCTGGGCATGATTAAATATTAGTACAGTGGTTTACTATTGAATGAAAAGGAGCAAGACCAGTTGATACTAGACACACCAAAAGTTGTATCTAGGGAAAGTACATATTGATGCCACATAAGAATGCAAAAAGAGGTGAGAAAATTTTTTAAAATATGATTGTTATGAATAGCAGGTAGGCTGTTCTATGCATGTGTTCACTATAACTGCAATGAAGGTAGGATTTCTGCCTATGTTTTCAGGCTCTTCCACAACATAGAAGAGAGTTCTTTATCAGACTGATCAAATGACAGCAGTTTAAATTCAACTACCAATTTTCTTTTGTGATTAAAATGTTAAAATCATTATCCTTCACTTCATCCCCATTTAGTATACATGCTCCCAGACATTCAGCAGCTTAATACAGTCTCATTATTGTTTGAAATCATTCAGTTCACCAAAGACCATTCTTTCTAGCAAGGTATTTTTGCTAGTTGACTATTACGCTCAGCATTTTGCTCATCACAGGAGCATGTATATTACAGCTGTCAACTAGAATGAAAGGAACATACACATGATGTTTTTCCATTTATGGCCATTGTACAGTATACAAATGTCTTTCGCACCTAGTGCCCTAAGCTTATCAATTTTCTCCTTGAGATTTCAATGGTAGGTTTTTTTCTGACAGCTGATGTTGTATTATATACACAGGAGTATAATTGGAAAAGATATATGTACATACTGCAGGAAGCCCTTGGGCATAGATGCCAAAATGATCTTAGATGCCTTGCAAATTTGCTGTCATTCAACTTGCTTCAAGGTAAGAGGATTTCACCTGCTACTAAGAAATATAATTTGAATGTAATACCTGCATTATAGTACAGAGATAATAGGAGAATATTTAGTCCTTAGGCCTTCTCCACCTGGGAGAAGAGGAACTCTTGCACCCTGGAGATGAAGATTAATGTAGGAAATACTAGTCTCTCTTACTCTACACAATCCCTTCCTCTTTTTTTTTCATCTCTCTCCTCTACTTTCCCTCTCCCTGTCTATACTTCTTTCTTGCAACCACAAGGGGGATAAAGAGTGCAATGTAATGTACCCTGAATGTCCTACACATTTATAAGGCTTCAGCTGCACAGGCTTCTATTTGATTAATTATATACTATTTACACTTTCTTCATATTGTAAAATTTTATTCTATTTCTCTTTTTGTGAAGCTTTGTAGATGTCCTTGATTAAGGACAACTATGGCTTGTGCAGAAGCCACACTCAAAGGCATCAGTAAAAGGTATTTAAGCCAGAGGTAAAATCATTTTACCCACTGGGATCAAATATTTGGTTGAAATTTGGGTCTTACAGATAGTTTCTGCTGTAGGATAAAATACTGATGAAAATGGATATGTCTTTCTCATTCTATTACAAATCATGTTTGGTTTCTTTTTTTTTTTTTCCTATTTCCAGTAAAAATGAAAGCACAGAAAAAAATTTGCTTGTCGTTCCAAAGCCTAAGTCTCAGCCTAAAAGTCACTCTTAAACTTTTTGCAGGGTAAGCCTATCAATGCTCAGCCCTCTAGTCCATTTTCCTTCCACTTCATTTGTCTTAATTCTGCTTGCATCTCAGCACAGAGTTTGTTGTTGTAACAAACAATACTCTCAAAATCACACATTACCATAGCTTATTTTTCTGTCCCGCTTGCATATACTTCTGCTTCTGACAGCAGGTCTTCTACCTAGTTATTGCACAAAAAGTAACTCAAAGCAGAATACAGCAGTAAGGCTATACTTAACATGTATGAAGTTACATATGCTTTTTGTCTCATATGGACTTTCTAAGCCCTGTGAGCAGTAGAAATGCAATTTCTTCCATGTAAATCACTATGTAATACCTCCTCCATACTCCTACTGCAAGTAAATACAAGCTCTGATTTGCTTCTATTCTTTTTGGATAGATCAACCCACATAAAGAGGAATAGGCTTTTGACACAGTTAGGAGTGCTAACATCCTACACTGGTATTGGCCAAATTATCTGTTAAATATTTAATATTAACTTTTAAATTATATCCTTTTGCTACCTGTTCTCAAGTGGGGACATTTCTGGTCAGCAAAATTCAGCTTAATTTTGTGTAACTACACATTTATGAAAGCATTGGTAAAAAAATTAAACAGCTAATGTAGGTCTGTGGTTCATGCTTCTAGTTATGTATTTAACTAAGTAGTGCAATTTCCTATCATTAATATTCATTTAGCTCTTTACAAATACCCTGTATCCATTAGAGATTTCCATGTAGCTGGCAGCAGCATGAGGTCTTTGTTTCCTTGTAAAGGTAATTATAGAATCATAGAATGGTTAGGGTAGGGAAGCACCTTAAGATTACCTAGTTCCAACCCCCTGCCTTGGCCAGAGACACCTCCCACTAGAATAGGTTGCTCAAGACTCTGTCCAATCTGGCCTTGAAATTCAGTGAGTAAATAGTCCAGACTGTAGTTTTTTTCTGTATAAAAATGCTAGTTAGTCTTAGCGGTCAATGCTTTGAAAACATGACCATCCTTTTGCTGATTTATACGAGGAAACATAAAACTAGTGAAGGGAGCAGACTATTTTAATAGTACCTTAATATTAGCAGCTTGTGTAGAAAAGGCATAGAAAAAAAGCAATATGGTAAAACATTAAAAAAAAAAAGTTGCTTAGTATTCTCATATGTTATGCTAATCAATGTGGAGTGCTCAGCTGAAATTTCATACTAGCCCTAGTGAGCATGTGTAATCTAAGGCAATTGCATATTGTCTGGATCCTTGATCTAATCCCACTGTCTTTAAGTCCATGGTGTTGACATCATGCGGTTTCTTTATTTGTTTACCTGCTAAAGGATGTTCTGGGTAAGGTTTTTAATTTTTATAAAGATTTTTAGTCCAAATTTATCTGAATAGACAGCCATCATGAAAATCATGGGAAGACTCTGGTTTTCACTTATCAGAGGATAAAAAAAATCAAAAAAAAAACACCCTGAATTTGTTATTCTTTCATTAGATTGCAAAAAATGGATGGTGTTAAGATTCTTGTTTATAGATCAAATTACTTTGCTCCTTGGTCCACTGTAGGCTTTCCTTGTGATCTTGGGAAGTCAACCTCTGTGCATATCTGTGTATTTTCATATGTGAAACATAGGCAATGCTTCTCTATCTCAAAAATTATCTTTGTGAGACATTTGTGAAAGCAGTGTCCAGATTCTGCAATAATGGGGGAGACAGTTAATGATTAAGATACAGTATAAAATATTTTTAAAGGTTTAGGTTCTCTAAGATCTACTCTGAGTTGGATTAAGTCTGATCATGCTTCCTTTACTCAGTGAACAAACAAAAGGATCTCAAAAGGGTGATTCATTTTATTTTATAATAAATCTCTAAACTAAGACAGAAAGAGTATATGTGGAAATGTCTGGGGGAAGGAATGAGTTGGTGAGTATAATGAGAACCTAGGGAACCAGTTGAGACTTAGGTTTCTGATTTTTAGATGTCTAAAGGTGAGATATTCAGATGTATAATTGACTGTTAAAACTGCTCTTTCAGAGTTCAGATTAGCTGATAATGCAGTACTCATAACCCTTATTCTGGTCTGTGGTTGCTTACTTCCTAAAAGATAGCATCCAGGGAACGAATATTAGAGAAGGTTTCATTTTAATTTTTCTTGTTACTTTTACTTGTGTGTCAAAGTGTGAAGTATGTAAAAGACCACTGGAAGATCTGAGAGCAGGAGACAGCATTTGGATTTACAGACAAACTGTGCATTGTGAGCCTTGCTATTCCAAAGTTAAAGGTAAGATGCAAGATGCATTATACTGAACATAGAACAAGAGTGTAGAGAAATTCATTCAAATAACTTCAATATATTACCACACAACTGTTGCTTTTGCTCATTTCTGTTCACTTAAACCTTTTCAAAGTATTTCATTCAGTAAGACTGAGTTAGGATGATATCCAACCCCAGGATCTAGACATAATAGTTATTCGGTACTTGTGAGGAAGATCTCTTAAGGTCTCATTGAAATCTGTAGAGTCCTGCCTCTGCTGTCAATGGAGACACCTACAGTGAGTCAATGGCATCTTACCCAGGAAGTGACAAGAATAAATTGCAAGGCCACCTGAGAACCAGATTGTTCTACTGAAACAAATAAACCAGGGTTCAGAGGTATTTTCACCTAATGTAGTCATTGTGAACAACAAAGAGAAGATACAAAATCTATTAAATCATAATGAAAATAATCTACTGTGAGTACCATTCTTACTTTTGTGAGGAGCATAGTGAGTAAACAAATGTGCAAGGCACTGAAGAATGAAGCTTTTGTTTTATGAATTATTCTAGAAGTTGCTAGCTTTTAAGTCTTCCCTGTTCATGGCATTTATTAATTCATAACACTAAAAATCAGTACCTCTGTACCAAATAAAGACAAATGAAAATGTAGATGAAATGTTCGATAAGGTGGTGTTCACCAATGTACTTCTGAGATATGATCGTACTAACTAAAATTATATTAATTTGTTTTGTTAAAATACTTTGTGTTACTATGTCATTGCAAAATTTGATGGGAAGAGTGAATTTTGCAATTTATTCAATTATAAAATTAATAAGGCATTTTGACAGTTATTAAACTGTAGACAGACAGACCAAGTATCTGTATGTTAAGCATTATAAAGTGACATACCCCATTTCAGAAATGACAAGGTGAGACTTCAGTAGATTTTATAAATAAAAAATAAATAAATTGATCTAAAAGTTTCCTTGTGTGACACTTAGAGAATACTGATTTTCTGGCATTTCTGATCAATCTTTTCTCTTTTGCAGAAAAGTGGATTTACTAATTTGACATACAGCGTGATAAAGAAGTTCCACTAGTGTTTAGTTAAGTGTATTGCCCTGTTAATTCAAACCACTATGGAAAATGATTATTTTTACTGCTAGGAACAAATACTTTAAATGCAGTCCCACTGCACGGTTTCCAAAGGAATCAAGTGCTTGAGAATTTAGGTGTTTTTTTAACACATACATTCCAGGAAGCAAAAGAAGATACTGTTCAATATATTTATCAGATTTGTGAAACTACATGGAAAACTAATAATAATTTATTAAAATTTTCTGAATGGCAGGATATACCTACACATACATTTTGAAGGGGCTGTATTCTTTTTACTGAAAACACATCTCCTCAAAGACCTGCTACCTTTATATAGCATGTATAGGATTAATCCCATCAAAGATTAATCATTTAGAAGTCAGCTATTCAGTTTAAACTACTGTTTTAACACAGAGTGAGGTGGGTTCACTCTGTGCCTTTCAGGAGAGACATCAGTCTGCAGAGGAAGATTATTCCCAACTAACTTAAATGATAACTTTACAATGGAACGAATCATCTTTGGAAAATGCATCTCTGTTACTGGAGAGGAATTCCAGACAAAAAATGCTAGAGGGTTTCAATTAGAAGTATCCCCCCCCCCCCCCCGTGTGTAATTCTGGTAACTATTGTATACCCTTTTTTTTTTTTTTAAGAAGTGCACACTCAGTAGCTGCCATGAAATTATGAAATACATACTTTGCATGCCACTATGTTGTATTTATCTTGCCTACCTTATTAAGCGGAATATCGAAACACCTTGGATGGATTCATCTCACTTAAATTTAAACATCTATACTGCAGACATTGAAGTTACTTGTTCTATTCTGTCTTTATACTCATATAGAGAAGTAGACATTTTTAGGAAGTGATTCAATTGGTCAGATTGCAAACATCTAGTATACCATGATGTTAACCATGCTCTGAATGTATGTTTTACTTTCCATGGTTTGCAACGGAACCTGGAGTGAATAGCTCAAATTTCTAGACATTTACATTAGGCCAGATAAACTCCTTCCTTTGAGACTACAGTGAAAGCACTGGGTTTTTTCCTTTTGAAGAGAATATGTTCATTAAGGTATAGAAACTAGAAGAAGAGCTCATCCTTTGTTACAATGTTTCCGCAACGCTCAATAATTACCTGCCTATTTGTTTAAAATAATAAATAATTCAGTCATTTGCTAGACAAACAAAGGTGTCAACTACTAGTCTCTGCCATGAGATGTTCCAGATCATGGTTATTCAGAACTGACTTTCACCACCTACATCTCAACTTAAAAGGACTTACTGGATATGACCATGACAGACCTAGAGCGCTCGGAGGCTGCTGGACCTTAGCAAAAGCTTAGAAGGGCAAAAAGTGCCAAAGCCATAGATTAATATTAGACTGCTGAATGGCTGCCCCAGACAAAATTTCTCTCCTCATCTGCACATTCAGTAGAGGAGACAGGAGGTATGGATGTCTGTGTAATTTATACAATTGGGTCTGCAGCTGAATAATGATGTAATCTGTCTTGCCTGGCTTGAAGGATGTTCAGACTGATACGTAAAGGACCCATGAAACAGTAATTTGTTTTGTTAATTTTATTAAAATTTCTTATTAATTAACGGCAGTAGCTTTAATAAACCTGTTATAGATTTTTTTTTTTTCTGGTGTGTCTCTTGCTGATGGCATATTCTAATTAAACTATACTTGTTATTACCCTGTGCTTCACCAGGAAACAATGAGACTTGCAAAACAGGTGGAGAAAAGTAGTGGTGAAATTTTAATGTTGGGGTCAGAGATTTGGCCCTGTTCAGAGGCCAATATTTATTGCTAAGGCTGTTACAGTGAAAGATGTTAGATGTTCATTTGAACCAGATCATTAGAATCCAGGACTTCCTAGCATTTGAGAGGATTAGAGATTTCAGTTCATTCCATTAGAGACCAGGAGCAAAGTCTGTATCCAAAAATCTGCTACTTAAATGCTTACAGAGAGAGAAGCTGCAATAAGAAACAATAAATAATAATTCCATGCTTGTTAATTCATACTTGCTGAACAACCCTGGTAATTTTGCCATGTGTTTTTTTGTTATTTTTTATTATATGTTGTAAGTTTGCTGAAAAGAAACACCGGGTTTGTGATGCTTCATATTTACCATATAAAAGCCAGCATGGCAGTAGTCATTAAAAAAAATCATATTAACATCTCAATACCAATGTATCAAAACTGAATTTTTTTTTTCCTTTTTGCATATCATTAGCATGTGGTGTTTTATTTCTCTTTGACTAGTGCTTCCATGAAACAATCCAAATGAACAGTTTGCTGGCAGCTGTTTTAATGAACGTGTTATCTTCAATAATGCATTAAATTATACTGAAAAGCTCTATTGAGAGATGATGTACTAAATTATGTGGGGGTTTTGATTCATCAGGCCCATTTTTTCAGTGTGTAATGGATACTTTATCTTACAAAGCTGGGGCATAGCTCTACAGGGGGCAGAATCAAGCAATAAGAGGAAAGGAGTGAAATAATGCATGTAATATATATTGATGCATTTAAATATGTAGATTACTTCAAAGCTACTGATACTTACATCCTTTTCCTCTTAAAACAAGCATCTCTCTGAGTTTGACAAGACATGCTCTTTGTTACTTTGTAGAGCCCCCTTAGCTATGCTTGTAAAGAGCTGGTCAGCATCAAAGAGGCCTTGCTTTTATCCAGAGGTCAGCTCTATTCCCCACGCCTTGCTATGGAGATGTGTGTTGTGTTGGGATTGTTTCATGTGTTCAGTTTACTTACTCAGAACTCTGCTACTCCAGTTGCTTTCCTTGACACTTTAACATAATCCTGTTGTTTAGGATGAAAAGTATCCACTTTCCTGATTGGTTTTGCTTTCTGATCATACTTGCATGTTGCTCATTGTAGCTACTCTGTTACACTGAGAGGTGTTTTTAACTTCCAGTCAGGTTGGTGTCAAACTGCAAGGGAGAAATGTAGCTTCCTTTTTTTCCATCTGCTGCACCAAACCACCTCATTTTTCTTCAAGCAGTGTAACAGTAGAGACATCCTTCATTCCATAAAGACAAAGGATAAAGACACTTAATACTCAGGTAGTTTTGATACTCAGGTAGTGCCCAAGTCTGAAACTGTTGACCAAAATAGCTGTTTAGCTTCTTAACGGATGCAGAAACACTGAGGTCTTAAACCCATTTTTCCTTCTTTTACTTCAAAGGCCTACTGTCCTGTTTTCTGTCTTGCCTGATCTAAGCAATGCAGCTCTCATCTCCTGCATCAGTAAAACTGGGACTTAGAAACATACCTTGCATTTCAGGGAGAGTAGCCTGCAGATATTCTCAAAACGTGTTTGGCACACTGTGCTGAGATCCAACCTCCACAAAAATCTCCTGATAATTACTGCTTTTTAAAATCAGGGGGGTGCTGTTCTCCTCTTTGAGCAGATCACTGGCCCAGAAAGTGGGAGGGTCAAGTTCTATTTCTGCCCCATCTTACCTCTATTTTAACCAAGTCATGTAACACAGTGGAACAGGCTAGTGTATGGAATAAATCAGGTGTTGTTGCCATGTTCCCTGATATGGGTAGAGGGTGGATCCTTATGGCCCATGGCCTGCAGGATAGCTGCATTGCGTACGCAATCACTAGGTGCCTACTGACCCCTCAGGAATCACTGCTGAATAGAAAATGTAGAGACAGTCCTGAGAGCAGAGACCAGATCCTGGAATTTCTCCATCTCATCTAAGTAGCCTAATTTATAATTAAAAGCAGTCTGAATGATCCTCTGTTTATCTCTGTTAATGTTGTGCTCCTTTCTAGCAACGTTAGAGGAGTTGTCTGCACTCAGATTTAGATGGTGTAGGAGGCTGAGAGAGTGCAAGTTTTGGGGTTTTCATCCGAGATTACTAGAAATGTTTTCATATGATCACTTCTAAGCTTTACTATCTTATTTGCCTTTCCAGTATCTGAGCTCTTTTGGACAGGAACAAACTCCTTGTTTGTGCAGCACCCAGCACAGCAGTGGCCTCTGGGTGGTACTGCTGCACCTGCGTAAATGGCTCAAGAAAAAATCAGATTTCACTCCCCTTCCAAGCAAGCTACTTGTAAACATATTATTCTTCATGGAGTTTTTATAACTGTGTCAGTTATAAATTGACAGCTATAATCTCTCAGCCTGTGCCAAGACTTAAAATTGGTTGGTTTTGTCCTGTTAGAGTCAATATATGAGCATGATCATGCCAAAAGCACTTGTCTGAGACTTGGCATTGCTGTGCAGTCATCAGACATCTGTTTAGGAAGCTTAGACAGCTATTGTGGTGAGAACAATGTGCAGCCATTAAAACTACCTACTCAGGAACACAACATTAAAAAAAAAAAAAAAAAAAGGAAAATAGAGGAAAAAGAAACAATCACTTCTGGAAAGAAAAGCCAATCTTTTTTCTGGCATCCAAGCCATTTTTCCCAATGGGGGAGGGGAGTGGGTGCGGAAATAGTGTTCACATGTCAAAATACCCAAAAGAAGCAGAAACAGGAGAAATGATTAAGAAGATGAAAACATTATGCAAAGAAGCCGATTAAGGACAAGTAGAATCAGTGATTTTGAAAACTGGGGATAGGAATTTAAAATGTAATAGTGTGGCCATAAATAATGGTGCCATTGAAATCGGTAGCCAGACTTAACTGTAAGACAAATATGCCAGAAAATGTTGGTCTACTTTCATATCTTCTAGCTCCTCTAGGGAGTTTCCACTCCTGGAACTTTGAATTATATTATCTCCATACGTAGTTCGAATCTCGGAATTAAGAATGAGAACCCAACTTACCATACTTGTAGCATTTTGATTGCATTAAAAATACTATTCTTTGGAAAATCTATAGAATTGTATGACTGATAATGCATCTGAACATTGGTCTTATCTGTTGTCCTGGGTTCAGCAGTAGCAGTCATTTTTCCCCTTCTTGGTAGCTGGTGCAGTGCAGTGTTTTGACTTTCAGCTCGGGAACAGAGCTGATAACAAGCGATGTTTTGGTTTGGCCAAGGACTTTGTGAGCCTCATGCTCTGCCAGGGAGGAGGGGGAGCCAGGAGGAAGCAGAGACAGGACACCTGACCCAAGTTAGCCAAAGAGGTATTCCATACCACAGCACGTCATGCCCAGGATGTGACTGGGAGTTAGCCGGGAGGGCTGGGAGACGGCAGGGTTGGAGGAGGTATCGGTCGGAGCTTGGTCGGGCTGGGGGGGGGCTAGTTATCGGTCGGCTGGTGGTGAGATGATGTATTCTCTTCCCTTGTTATTTCCTTTATCATTATTATCATTGGTGGTAGCAGTAGTGATTTGTGTTATACCTTAGTTACTAAACTGTTCTTATCTCAACCTGTGGGAGTTGCATTCTTTTTGATTCTCCTCTCCGTCCCTCCGAGAGCAGGGGGAGGGCAAGAAAGGGGGGGAAGTGAGCGAACGAATTACCTGACTGGGTTTAAACCACGACAGTTCTTTTTGGCGCCCAACGTGGGGCACGAAGGGTTGAGATAACAACAGATCTGACCGAATTAATAGTCACTCGTCACAATGCTGATTTATTGGCTCTCAGAGTTGTTCTTGTTGATCTCACAGCTTCAGAATGTTGTAACTTATGTAGAGCCGGTATTTGCTGTGTTAGTGTTTATCAAGTGTGGGGCCTGGGCTAAGGTTCTTGTCTCACTGTGCTTTATGGCAATGGCTTGTAATACGGGCGGGCTCCAGCAGCAGGGCGGGACGGACGTGGCCGTGGACTTGTACCTGGCCGTCCGGCTGCTCTTCACCGTCCTGGCCCTCACCCTACTCTCCATCTTCGTGAGGCTGCGGGGAGCTGAGGGGAGCGGCCCCGGGAGCCGGCGGCTGCTGAAGCGGCCCGGGAGAGCGGCCCCGGGGACCAAGCGGCGGCGGGAGCGGGGCCGGAGGCCGCGAGGGGACGGCTGCCGGTGGAGGAGGTCGGGGCGGTCGAGGAGCAGAAGGAGGCGGCTGCCGAGCAGCGGGAGAAGGCGGCGGAGGAGCCGAGCCCCGCGGCCGAGCCGAGCCCCGCGGAGGAGCCGAGCCCCGCGACGGCCGAGAGCGTTTCCCGGAAGCCGCCCGCCGAGCCCCAGGAGGATGCAGGAGACCACGCAGCATTTCCCAGCAAGGCAGAGGAGGAAGAGCTGGACTCAGGAAAAGAGAAGCTGGCGGTGGGAGAGCCGGCAAGCACAGCAGCTGCACCAGCCCCAGTGACAAGTACAGCAGCATCAGTTGAGAGTTCTGAAGGTTTTGAATGGCCTTTGGGTGTCCTTGGGACCTGCCTGCTGATTGTGATGGGGATCAGCATGTTGGCACACACACAGACTGTGTTCTACCCACGACCATTTTGTCTGATCTCAAAAGTTAAGCAGAGTCAGGTTTGGGTCTTGTCTGGGGTTAGACGAGGATATGGGGGGACCAAGAGGTTTTCCCCAAGGCTGGACAGCCAGGAGTGGCAGGGTGTGTGGGACAGTGTGGGCAAGTATCTAGTCCACTGGGCCCCTCCAGTGCTTTGGAAGCATTGGAGATGGAAGGCAGCTGTATGGAGTCCCCAGCAACAAGCTGCAGAAACTGCTGAAGGGGACAGTGAATTATTTTGAGCCTGGTGGGCCCAATGCACTTCAGGCCATCAGAGCAGAGATGCAACACAGAGATGGACTCATGATCGAGGGGTGGACTTAGCAATGGACATTATTGCCCAGGTTATTCATGAGTGTGAACACTGCACACAGTCTCTCCTGCTCTGGAAGACTGTTACAAGAGACGGAGCCTGACATCATGGACCAGATGGACTCAGCAGCTTTATAGGGACTGGTCCATGCACTAAGATAAGAGTGCACTGAGATAAGAGTGATGGTATATTGAAAATGTGGGATCTGAGCATGACGTGAATGGTATGGAATAAGGGGTGGATAATGTCCTGGGTTCAGCAGTAGCAGTCATTTTTCCCCTTCTTGGTAGCTGGTGCAGTGCAGTGTTTTGACTTTCAGCTCGGGAACAGAGCTGATAACAAGCGATGTTTTGGTTTGGCCAAGGACTTTGTGAGCCTCATGCTCTGCCAGGGAGGAGGGGGAGCCAGGAGGAAGCAGAGACAGGACACCTGACCCAAGTTAGCCAAAGAGGTATTCCATACCACAGCACGTCATGCCCAGGATGTGACTGGGAGTTAGCCGGGAGGGCTGGGAGACGGCAGGGTTGGAGGAGGTATCGGTCGGAGCTTGGTCGGGCTGGGGGGGGGCTAGTTATCGGTCGGCTGGTGGTGAGATGATGTATTCTCTTCCCTTGTTATTTCCTTTATCATTATTATCATTGGTGGTAGCAGTAGTGATTTGTGTTATACCTTAGTTACTAAACTGTTCTTATCTCAACCTGTGGGAGTTGCATTCTTTTTGATTCTCCTCTCCGTCCCTCCGAGAGCAGGGGGAGGGCAAGAAAGGGGGGGAAGTGAGCGAACGAGTTACCTGACTGGGTTTAAACCACGACATCTGTTTATATAATTGATAATGCATTTGAGCATTGCTTTTATAAATTTACCAAAGTAATATATAAGTAGAAGAAACAGAAAAGCCTTTTGTAGTAAAATACCAGTTTTCTTACCCCAAACTTCTCCGTGGGAGTAGGCGTACCAGTTTTGACATGAATGACATCTGTGGAAAGCTAAAGGAGGAAAGCAAGGAAGAAAGCGGTATTTTTTCTGCCTCTTCTCGTGTGAGACATCCGCTATACTCAGTCAGAGAAGAGAACATGCATCAAGAACTCTGATTTCTAATTTTTACTCAGAGATCACCACAACTCTTTAAAAACTTCCCCTCCTTCTAATTCAGAATCAGGATCTTCTCAGTAGGAACATACATGAAACAGGGGAGTGGAGAGAGCAGGGACATTGCTTCCCATAACGAAACTGGAACACAAGGAAAAGATCTAGATAAGAAGAATATTTATTAATACCACAATTCATACACCCTTCATCAATCTAGAGAGTGTACTCAATA